AAAAAAAAATTAAAAAAAATAAAAGCAGGAAGGCAACAGATAGAACTAAAAGTTTCCTTTGACTGCCACCCCTAACCTGAGCCCCCTTGCCCCTCTACAGAGATAAATACTGAAAGGTCTGAACTCCCCCCACCCCTTCCTCTCCTTATCCCACATAACTGCTTTCCTTCTTTGGATCAATACTTTCGGTTAAATTTGTGAACGTCACCTTTGTGTGTATGAGACTTCCCAGTACCCTGTCCCTCACTCTGCCCCTTTCTCTACTCTTTTCCATGTTTTGAACAATGTGAATACACTGCTTTTATAACATACATACAAAAAAAAAAAAAAAAAAGCTTCAAAAGGTAGCTGTCATCAAGAACATGGAAATGCCTGCAGTCCAGATGTAGGTATGTGGGTGAGGTCAGTGCCGGGGATGGACGTAGTGAGAACACTTGAATCCAGGGCAGGAATGGCCCAGCCTGGGTGGAGTTCTGATGACAAAAGGTACATGCTTCAATCTGCGGTAGGAAACTAGTCTGTGTCATAACTAACTGTTCTAACGAGATCCACTTCCTGTTGTCTGATGTTGAAATAGATGCTTTTTTCTTTTTCTTTTTCTTTCTTTCTTTTTTTTTTTTCTTTGAGGGGGGATGGTCTTTTCTCAAACTCTTGCAATTCTAAATACTTCCTTGGTGCTCGCCAGTTGCCTGTCGCTTCGTGAGACTCTCCGGAAGGCTCACGGATTGTGAGGCAGCTCTCACCCCAAAGGTTCTGATTATCAGAGTTGCATCAGTATAGTTCATTTTTGGTGTTTTGGTTGATGACCTTCCCGTGTGGGCTCAGGGACGGGCTTCATGAAGCTCTAAGAAGGTGTAGTTATAGGACTGTGAGACTGTGAGTGCATTACTGGCAGGCACCTGTAGTGGGAAAGGAAGATCTGAACTCAGGATCAGAGGATGATGCACTTGTACCGCATCTAGGCTGAGTGGGGGGAGTTGATTCACTTTTCAGAATCTTTAAAGGGGATGATAAACCCTCCCTCTTGGGCACATTGTGGGGATTTGGTGAGCAAGCACTTTCTCAGTTGCTGTACCAATGTAACATTGCAGTTGTTAGTTGTAACCACTCCTCTGTAGCTACCCGTCAGCTATCCCATGCGGCTCAGCCTTCGGGTGCTGCTCCATTTCACGTGCCCTTTTCTCTTTCCTGGGTTCTTAGCTCCAGACAAGTGAGAGTCACCCTCTGCGACAGTTTCATTTCACCTCCTGGCCGGACCACGGCGTTCCCGACACCACCGACCTGCTCATCAATTTTCGGTACCTTGTCCGTGACTACATGAAGCAGAGTCCTCCTGAGTCTCCCATTCTGGTGCATTGCAGGTATGCAGATGGCGCTCCACGTAGGACCGGTTTCAAACGCCATTATAAATGCGGACACTTTAGAAAAGCAAGGCGTGAGAGGGAATGCAACAGGCATTTGGAAATTTAAGAAAGGTTTGGATAAGGGACCATGGACTTATTCCCTAAGCCCTAAGGCTTTTAGAGCAGGGGTTGGCAAACTATAACCATGGGCCAGATCTGGTAGGTTGCCTGTGTTTTTTTTAAGACTATAATATATTCTAATTTATATCTTACTTATAACATTTTATTAAGTTTATTTATTTATTTTGAGAGAGAGAGAGAGAGAACAAGTTGGGGAGGGGCAGAGAGAGGGAGAGACAGAATTCCAAGCAGGTTCTGCACTGTCAGCTTAGAGCCTGACACGGGGCTCGAACTCACATACCGTGAGATCATGACCTGAGCCGAGATCAAGAGTCAGATGCTGAACCAACGGAGCCACCCAAGTGCCCCTATGACATTTTCTTATAAAATATTTCAACCTAGGGGGGTCTGGGTGGCTCAGTCGGTTGAGCATCTGACTTCGGCTCAGATCATGATCTCACGGTTCGTGGGTTCAAGCCCCTCATCGGGCTCTGTGCTGACAGCTCAGAGCCTGGAGCCTGTTTCCGATTCTGCGTCTCCCTCTCTCTCTCTGCCCCTCCCCCTCTTGCACTCTGTCTCCCTCTGTCTCAAAAATAAATAAACATTAACAAAAATTAAAAAAAAGATATTCCAACCTTACAAAAATATAGAGTAATAATCTAATAAACTATGGCATGAGGTCATGTTTCTTTTTGTTAATAATATGTTCCAGATGTAAAGTTGCTACTTATCAGTGTCCTTACACAGTTAAACATGGTTCTAAAGTTGATCTGAATCATTCCCTTGTATGCTTTTATATTTTATTACATATGTATGTATATCTGTGGTTTTATATAGCTTTAAGCTTTTGCCAAATTTTATGATGTAGACATCATTCTGCAACCTGCTTTCTTCATTCAGCATTTTGGTTTGTTATTTAGTGAAGTTGAAATGCATAGTTTTAGTTCATTTTATTGATTTATTTAAAACATTTTTTTTTGGCATACAAAACTGTACATAAATTAATGTATACAACTGCATGAGTTTGGAGGCAAGTATACACCTGTGAAACTATTACCACAATCCCTTTATGAATAAAGTTGTATTGGAACAGAGCCATGCCTGTTTGTTCACATATTGCCTCTAGTTACTTTCATCCTAAAATGGCAGAAAGAGATCATTTAGTGTGCAAAGCCAAAGATATTTACTATCTGGTCCTTTACAGAAAAAGTTTGTCCCCACTTCCTGCTCTAGCCCAATAAGACAACTAGCTAGCTTTTAGGCTAAAGCAATTAATTTAGGAAAGATGAAGAGGGGCTTTGTTGCCCTATGGGGAACAAATTGATGAAACTTGCCATCCTGGGATATGGTTAATAACTTGAATGGGACTGAGATTCAAGCCGCTCTAGCAAGAGGTTTTATTTGTGATATTTGACGCAAAATGAACGTTAGGGTTTGGGTCCCAGTCCCAAGCTAGTGTAATCCAATTTGCTGAGGTTTTAGTTGAGCAAATGTTTCATGATCCTGGGCATTGATAGTGGAGGGGAGCAAGATACATGCACAAATGCACATTTGAGCATTTTATGTTAGAGGTAACCCATGGTGATGTGTTCATGTCTTTTTTTCTTCAGTGCTGGGGTTGGAAGGACAGGCACGTTCATTGCCATCGATCGTCTTATCTACCAGATAGAGAATGAGAACACTGTGGATGTGTATGGGATTGTGTATGACCTTCGAATGCACAGGCCTTTAATGGTGCAAACAGAGGTGAGGCCGAGCTCTGTGTGTGGCAGTCCGCTTTTTCAATCCTGTTTTCAAAAGGTTGCATCATGTCACATACTTGTGTTGAAACACTTCACCCTTCTAGGTCTTTCTGGTTCTGGGCTGTGAGGTAACACTGGACTTCTTTTAGATCCTTAACTGCGATTGAATTATCCGATATGGTGATACAGTGGTAGTGATACCAGCAATGGAACAGTACACACCAAGATCATACCTGGATTCCTTACGTTGCAGCCACTAACTCATCAAATAATCTTAGCCGTTCTCTGAACTTTGGCTTCCGGATTGTAAACTCTTAAAACTGGTATCTTCATGCTTTGTTTCTGAGAAGGTCTGACCATCCTTAAAACAAGCTGATGAAACGGACTTCTCAAATGTTAGCAATGTGAATGAAATAGGTGTAATGTTCATATAGCAGTGTATCCTCACCTAGCCCTGTGAATGTAAAAGAACATCAATTATCATAGTCCCCGGGGGATGGCTGGCCAGCTGAGAAACTTCATGCTTAGTATCTACAGTGTCAGTTGGGTAAGACCCATTGGATTCGGCTTTCCCTGAAATGTTCCTGACAAACATTGTTTTCAAGTCATGTTCTCAGCAAATATATTGGGAAATCGCCCTCTTCAACGCTGTAGGAAGGAATGTGTCTTGACTGGGATGAGAGCAGAATATTAATTTTGTATCAGGCTGTCACCCTGTACCAATTTAGAACTCCATGAATATGTGCTGTGTTTTTGAGTCTAGCAGGGAATGTTCTGGAGGCCTGGGTACATCGTGTGCTTTTGGGCGAGCAGCATGGTTGTGGAAGAAAGTGTAGAATTCACCTCCTGTGTTGGTCAGAAGAGAATTTTTTTTTTCCTGCTATAATTATGTAGAGTAGAACTCAGTCTTTTATCTCCTTTGAAGAAACACAGAAATCTTATACCTGCCCACAAATTCTTTTCTTGGTCCTTTTTTTTTGTAGTTTGAAGATAATGTAAACTTGTTCATATTAAGACATCTAACAAAACAGGATTATATAGAATGTATTTTTCTCTTTTACTTTTTCTTCCCTAGAGGTAGCCAATGCTTACAGTTTGTGTATATCACTATAGGTTTCTTTATGTACATCTGTAGAAAAACACATGTACACACGCACACACACAGTACTTTTTTGTTGTTGTTGTTATGGCTGGTGCTCTTTAAAAAAACTGAGTACAGATGACACACACAATGTTACATTTGTTTCAGGTGTACAACAGAGTGATTCAACAAGTCTATATGTTATGTTCTGCTCATCATAAGTGTAACTACCATCTGTCACCACACAAGGTTATTACAGTACCATTGACCGTATTCCATATGCTGTGCCTTTCATCCCCGTGACTTAATTCATTCCATAACCGGAAGCCTGTTCCTCCTACTCCCCTTTTCCCATTTTGCCCATTTCCCCCCTCCCCTCCCCTCTGGTAACCACCAATTCTCTGTATTTATGGGTCTGTTTCTGCTTTTTTGTGTGTTTGTTTTGAGTTTTAGAGTCTATGCATAAGTGAAAGCATATGGTATTTGTCTTTCTCTGTCTGACTTATTTCACTTAGCATAATACCCTTTAGGTCCATCCATGTTGTCACAAATGGCAAGATCTCATTCTTTATTATGGCTGAGTAATATTCCATTGCATATTTATACCACGTCTTTATTTATCATCTATTGATGGCTGCTTGGGTTGCTTTCCTATCTTGGCTACTGTAAAAAATACTGCAACAAACATAGGGGTTCACATATCTTTTTCAATTAGTGTTTTGTTTTCTTTGGGTAAATACCCAGTAGTGGACTTAGTGGATCACAATTGTATTTCTGTTTTTAATTTTTTGAGGAACTTTCATATTGTTTTCCTTAGTGGCTGTACCAATTTACATTCCCACCAGTAGTGCACAAGGGTCCCCTTTTCTCCACATCCTCTCCAGTCCTTGTTGTTTTTTGTCTTTTTGATACTAGCCCTTCTGACAGGTGTGAGGTAATATCTCATGGTGGTTTTGATTTGCATTTCCCTGATGATGAGTGATGTTGAGCATCTTTTCATGTGTCTGTGGACCATCTATATGTCTTCTTTGGAGAAGTGTCTATTAAGTTCCTCTGCCCGTTTTCTAATCAGATTGTTTTTTGGCTGTCGAGTTGTGTAGGTTTTTTTTATATATCTTGGATATTGACACATGGAATATTTTTTTCCATTGGATTTTATGTTATATCTAATTCTGCCCTGTGATTTTTTTTTTCTCTTATAGCACCCTGGATATCTTTCAGCATATACCTTTTTCCTCTTTCTTTTTTAATGGCTACCTGCATATTCTGACGAGCTTGCCTGAGGGTGGTCCCCACCCAACTCTACCCAGATTATCCCCCTTAACCTGTCCCCTCTGTTGAGAATCACAATTGACTCCTTACACCGCCCATGCTCACTAACCAAGAAAATCTTGTTGGCTTTGTTCATTGTGGGGCCGATGGGTTTGGGGGAGTGGTGGTAATCTGAAAGTAACCTTGGGTGCTAATCTCTGGGACCTCTGCTCATTTGCTTTCTCTTTTTACTTTTCTAACAGGACCAGTATGTTTTCCTCAACCAGTGTGTTTTGGATATCATCAGATCCCAGAAGGACTCAAAAGTAGATCTTATCTACCAGAACACAACTGCAATGACAATCTATGAAAACCTTGCACCAGTGACTGCGTTTGGAAAGACAAATGGTTACATCGCCTAGTTCCAAAGTAAAACCTTTCTGGAGTGAACCGGACCGTCACACCCACAGCGAAGGAAAATGCCCCGATGTCGACATGTTTTTATATGTCTAATATCTTATTCTTTGTTCTGTTTTGTTAGAACTTATTTGAGGGTGTGAAGCTGCACATGTAGAACATGACAAATGAGAAGTTGGGGCTGTCAGGGGCTGTGGATGGGTGTTGAGTTAATCAACTACATTCCTGAATACCAATGGGATGAGTTCACTTTTTTTTTTTTTCCTTGAGAATTATGGAACACCAGGAAAAGTGAGCTATGATTTTTTTTTCTTTTTCAAAACAGATTCTTTTTAAAAAAGACTATTTTATATGATTCACATGCTAAAGCCAGGATTGTGTTGGGTTGAATATATTTTAAGTATCAGAGATCTATTTTTACCTACTGTATCTTGGAATCTAGCTGATGGAAAATACGTGATTGTGGATGATTATCATGTCGGGAGGGGTACGTGGTACCTCTTCTGCCTGGGTTTTCTATTTGAACATGTGCCTTTTCTGAATTATGCTTCCACAGGCAAAACTCAGTAGATATCTCTATTTTTGTATTGAATCTCATAATTGGAATATAAGGAATATTTAAACAGTAGTTTAGTATCTGAGGTTCAGCCTTCTCGGTAACATTCCTGTTCTCATTTGACTAGAGGAGGCCTCCCCGTCCCCCATGTTTCGTGCTCTATTCTTTTTTTCCCCCTTTCTCTCCCGGTTTTCCCCAAAGACATTTCTGTTGGCCACATTTTCAGCCCATTGGTTGAGTGAGAGTGGAAACCAAGTATCACCTTGAGAATTTCTGGGGGTGGGGGAAAGCAGAGGAACCCTACAGTGATATAATCTCCTTCTCTTGTCCCTGTTTCATCCTTTTTTCTCATTTCTGTATTTGGTAAGAAGGATTATTTAAAGGTGCAATATGTGACTTAGTGATTCATGATGCTCTAGGTTTTTAGTAACGTTTTACTCAGGTTGGCATTTTATGTGCGTCTGTGTGTCCGTGTCTGTGTGTATGTGTGTGTGTGTTTAAAAGCGTGGCAATCTGTGAACACTTCAGTGTGAAAACAGTGTCTGATTAATCCCTCCTCCCTCAAAGTCCACTGGCTTTAGTCTATCTGCAGTGACACATATCGGTATCTACTGTATATATATATACTAAACTCTTAAAACAGTCATTCCTTTGAATTGAGGTGTACAGAGTTTGAATTTGTATCAAAGATGTAATTATTTTTAAAACCTCTTTTCACTATACTGCTGCTGTAATTACTTTTGATTTTTTTAATGTAGATTAATTTTTTTTTTTTTTTTTGCTTCAGGTGTGTATCCACCAAGAATTTCAGAATTTATGAGGATTTATTTTATTGGTACATAATCTGTAAACTTCTCAAGGCATTAACATGAAAGGGTTTGTTTCTTTTTATTTTATATTGTGGCTCAGGTTATATTTTGAAGAGGTTTTGAATTTATCCTCCTATAGGCAATGAAGTAGAGAAGGTCTTATGAAGGAATTACCAAGTCCCTGGATTCCTGTGGCCGTTTTCCACAGTAATAAATCCTGCTGTAAATTCAGGACAACTGTGTCCTAGTGAAAATGGGAGTGGGGTCTTCTCCGGGTGCCCCGGTCACTCTTGACCTGGGGGAGCCCGTCTCCCGACGCTGCCGTGTTCCTCAACTTGCTAGCACCTTGAGAACTGACTGCACGTGCTAGTGGGTTATGGAGGGTGAACCACAACGTACTGAAAGCCCTTGATTCGGTTCAGAGGCTCAGCGCTTGTACGTCTTTTGTCCCCCTTGTCCCTTTGAGGTACTAAAAGGATTAAAAGGAGAGGAGGTGGTCGTATCAGTGTCTGGGGAGGACTTACTTCCCACACAGAAATTGCACTTTTCGCCGAATCCTTTGCTCTCTCTTGTGGCAAGCAGTTCATTCAGCATCAGGCCCTGCGAGGAATGGGTTGTACGGGCCTGGTTGGGCCATCTTGACTCCCCTTCAGAGGGGCCTTCGGCTCTTTAGGCCTGCATCAGGGAAGCCACGCCGTCCCGGGCTGTTGAGTGAAGCTGGCTTTGGGCAGATTGCTTCCAAACCTTCACACTGGTCTGCCCCTCCATGCGTGCAGCTCTCAGAGTTCCATGATGGCATTCGGAGGTCCCTGCCCGGGGCCGCAGTTCTGTGGGTCATGCCCCTCTCCACTTTACTTGTCAGGAAGCCACTGGAATGGGGGTGTAGAAGTCACTTCTGACAAAGATGCTCTGCCCGGCCCTGCCTACGTTCCCTGCCACAGAGAAATCGGAGGGAAGGACTTGGCTCCAAAAATTCCTTTAGAAGGCTAAAGCAACAATAATTATAAACATACTGTGTAAAATCACACAAAACCCCAGAAACTCTCCTTCCTTCCACCTGGTATGGGTTTGGGAAATGGGCAGGAGCCCCAGCTAAGCCACTCTCAGATGTCATTCCCAGTCCTGGGAGGAAGGCTCGTGGTAGAGAGGTCTGGATTCCACATGGCAGGTCATGTGAAGGTCACGATGCTTCTCTGCATCCTGAAGAGGGCTGGGTTTGGGGACCGGTGGGGGTGGTGAGGGTATTTATAGCACAGTGATTGAAAAGGGAAGATAATTGTGTAAATATAAAGGACGCACGGGCTGGGGATTGGCCATAGAAAAGAGAAGGTGCTTTCAAGCTCCTGCCCCAAAGCCTCCCAGGAACGATGAACTAAAATCTGAGGAGTCCAGTGGAATCGCGGAGATGGTGTGATCACCCCTGCTTTCCTATTTGCCGGTTGCACACAGAAAAATGGCGAGGGTGGGATTAGTTATCAGTGAAAGGCCTGAAGGTTGGTGGTCAGTTGGTCTGGGGGATTTGGGGCATCGGTACCTTCTCCCAAGAGTGAGGACGTTTGCCTCCAAAGGTAAACCTAGTGACGTTTGGCACCGGTGGGAAATGACATTTGGGAGTCTGTTCCCTGTGGGCACCTAGTGACCTCCGGTGGACTTTGGCAGATTTGACTGCACTGGAGTTGGGCTTCGTCGAGCTGAGGCTCGTTGGGGGTGGGGGCCACCTTTGCATCTGATTCATGTTTGCTTTTCATCAGAGATGAAAAAGGCTGGTTTTCTTTTGCAGTGCTGGGTTGCACTTATTGTGCTAAACAAGGCTTGGTGACTATGTTGGTTTGCCTCAAAAGTCCAAGTTCTGCGTTTTCAGACTGTATAGCAGCCAAGTGTTTGACATACTGTAGCATTTTTCCCTCGGGGGCACGTATGAACAGGATGTGTTGATATGGACTCTAAAACTGTAATTTTCTTGTAACTATTTTGGAATGATGCATATTTCTAATGTTTGTTATACTTGTACAGAGTATTGCTGTTGGTTGCTTTTTTTTTTTTTTAAGGAAAAAATGGCCTGAAAAAAAAATTTTTTTAAAAGACTCACAAATACCAAATATAAAAAGTGTCAACACACGGTGCCTTTTGTTTCTTTTTTGTCCCACTTTCTACTTTAGGTCCCCACCATTTCCTTTCCTGAGCAGTGTACGGGCCTGTGTTTAATTGGGGCGTTCTTAACAAAAACATGTGTCCCTTTTGGATTTTGTACACTGTGTTAGTTTGCTGGGGCCACAACAAAGTGCCACAGGCCAGGAAGCTTCAACAACAGGAATTTAATCTCTCTCAGTTCCGGAGCCCAGAAGTCCAAGATCAAGGCGCTGGCAGGTTGGTTTCCTCGGAAGCTTCTCTCTTTGATGCAGATGGCCGCCATCTTCCCTGTGTCTTCACTTGGTCTTCCCTCTGTGTCTGTCTGTGACCTGATCTCCCCTATTTATCAGGAAACCAGTCATAAAGGATTAAGGCCCACCCTAACGACTTAAATTTTACCATCATCACCTCTTTAAAGACAGTACCTCCAAATACATTCTGAGGTACTGGGGTTAGGACTTTAAGCTATGAATTTGGGGAGACATAATCCAGCCCAAAACACACATCCAGGGAGACTACGTGAAGAGGAGACTTGGAAGAAGAAGTGAGTGTGCATCTGAGATGTGGCTGCGTGTGCTTTCACAGGGTCAGACACATGGGTCTACAGATGGACAGACACTCCATTTGTGCCATTTGGTCTCAGCACACATACCTTAGGCAAGTCCCCAGGATTTTCAGAGGTTTTCTTTCTTTTTTTTTTTTTTTTCAGTGATGGATTTGGGGAATCCCAGAATTTCTGGGACACTGTGGCAATCTGGACAGTTTTTGAGCGCCAACTATGCACCAGCCACTATCCCTTAGTGCCTGTGATGCACCAGCCACTCTGCCTCTGTGGCTGGTAAAGCAAAATACCGGGTTCAACCACAAACAAAGAGGACAAAAACCTTTGCCCTCATGGAACACAAACAGAGGGGGAAACAGATCCCCCTCTTTTATGTGAATTATTTTATGTAAATAAAAGCTTTAGTATGTTGGGTCATGCAGGTGTAAGGAAAACCAGCATTTCACCCTCGGAGGCATGAACTCGTGGCTGTCACACGGCAGGCGGTGCACACCCCCATGCCAACGAGAGAAAGCTTTCCGGCGCGTGCTCGGCGCGCATGCCTGCTTGCGGGGAGACTAGAGGCCGTTCCCAGAGCCGCGGTGCACACGCCGCAGGCCGGCCAGGGAACGAAGATGAATACAGCAGAGGTCCTCGCGTAAGAAGCCGCCCCAGGTGCCTCAAACCCAAAAGGAATGCACGAGGTACCAGGGGAGGTTTAAAGGCACAGGTAACCGGATTCCGGAATTACGGGTGGTGGTTTTTGAGCCGAGTCTTAAGCGGACTGTTCGCAGGAGGAGAAGGGCCTCCCCGCGGCCCCGCGGCGGGGGGGGGCGTGAAAGCCCAGGCCTTGCGCCCGCGGGGACCCTGCGCGTGTTGGGGAGGCCGGAGCGGGAGCATCGGAGGGTGGGCGCGCGGGAGGCGGACGCGCCTGGAAGGGAAGAAGCTCCGGGACTGTGTGTGGTCGCCTGAAGCAGTCTCACGCCTGACACACTTCTCCAGGTGTGCGTGTACATGATACGTAAGTAACCGCGTGCGCACACACACACACACACACACACACACACACACACACTTTACCTTCACTATTTTCTCTGGATGGAAGCTGCATGGTGGTCACGTGGTGTCACACGGGCTGGAAGGAAGGGCACTTACCAGACGCTGGGCTGGTGGAGGGGAATGGAGCCCTGGTAATGGGAGCCAGGGGTAGAATTTACCACACAGAACAGGGCCCGTACAGCCCTTTCAGTGGGGAGACAGGGTTCCCCGCCGCCAGGCCCCACTAGGTCCTCAGCAGTGGTTGGGGGTTCCTCCAGGACCTTGCTCGTAGCCGGCTCCTGCTGTCTCTCCCTCCTAACCGCCCCCCCCCCCCATCCTCCTTGCCTCTCCCAACCATCTGGAGACTGCGGCTAAATGCTGGCCTGCTTGCCAAGTGCAAAATAACTAGTAACAGTTCCAGCACATGCCTGAGCTGTTGACTGTGAAATGCTGTGTTGAAGGAAGGTCAGTTTTCCAGGAAGGCTACTGCTGGTATGTCCAGGTCTGCCTGAGGCCACGACTGTAATGACTTTTCTCCTTAGGCAAGAAAGCACAGATCTGGAGCATATTACCGTTTAATTATTCCTGGCTGAGGATAGAAAGTATTTTGCTTTACAAGCGATGCTTCCTGATGGATGTATGGTGGTAGACAGGTCCGAGTTTGGAGGCCTGAGCTTTTGTTCTTCCCCTGCCCGAATGGACTGAGTGGAAATCATAAACTTTCCTGCTTTTGATAAGCGTTAGGTGGCCGAAAGCTGAAGTTCTCCCCGAGTGTCAGGAGTGGAGTCTGTGGGCCTTGTTGAATCCACAACCCTCGTGCCTAAGCAGAGGTGGGTGTGGGTTGATGTCTTGTTGAAACTGGGGAAGTTTAAAGACCCCAGCCCCTACGAGGGCATCTTCCCAAGGGTGTTTTGAGCCCCGATGTCATCTGGCCATCACACCTTCAACTGGGAAGTTTCTGGGCTTACTTACCCTCATGTCTCAGACTCCGCCTCTCAGCAAAGAGGAAGCTTGAAGGTAAGTTCAGAAAGAATAGAGATGACGGTTCAGATTTTTGCAAATACGAATGTGGTTAAAATTTTGAGGCTGTAACACTCAGCATATTGCCTGGGATGCATGAAACGTCCAGTAGATGGTAGCTATTCATTTATCAACTTAAATTTTATTGATCATCTATGGGCTGGCAGTGGGCCCTGGGTATGTACAGTTGAGAACAAAGCAGGCATGATCACTGCCCCTGTAGAATTTTAGGGCCTACTGGAGAGTCAGGAAGTTTAAAAGGGATGAAACCTACCCGCTGACACATTGCAGCTAGACTGAGAAAGGATTGGAAGGGAGTGGCAGAATGTGCCAAGGCCCTGAGGCAGGAATGAATTTGGCACTTTGAAGAGGGATCCAGGAGACTGCAGTCTCTGGAGCTTAGCTGAGAGGGGACCTAAGAGCACAATATGAAGCCAGAGAGGTAGGCGGGTGATTGGGTCCGACTTCGTGGAGGATGACGATTCCCCACGTCATCCCCCTCCCTTGTCTCTGAATCAGCATGAGGTCAGGCGATTTGTTTTGGTCCGTCGATGTGAGCAGAAGTGACCGTACTGGTCCCGAGCCTAGATCATAAGACACTTCGGTTGATTTTGTTCACCCTCTTGTGCTTCAACCATTGCTATGAAAAATACCCCCGCTGGGCAGCTGCTGCCCTGTGAACCTGAGCCCTGGAATGAACACTTGAGTAGCAGAGTTGCCCCACCCAAGCCCAGCTGGGCTGTGCCTCGGAACAGAGCCACCTGGGTCCAGCCCTGCCTAGTTAGCTGGTCCCTGGCTGACCTACGATTCCATGAGAATGATTTACTCCAGGAGAATCTATGACTTTGGGATCTCTTATTATGTTGCATTTTTGTGGCAATAACTAAAACAGCCTCACAGCTAGTATTTGGTGGAGCTGGGATTTGAATCAACTCCGAGGCTTGGTTCTTAGTCACCTCTTTCAAGAGTAGAAGATTTCATTTAAAATAGTCTTTTTTTGGGGCGCCTGGGTGGCGCAGTCGGTTAAGCGTCTGACTTCAGCCAGGTCACGATCTCGCGGTCCGTGAGTTCGAGCCCCGCGTCGGGCTCTGGGCTGATGGCTCAGAGCCTGGAGCCTGTTTCCGATTCTGTGTCTCCCTCTCTCTCTGCCCCTCCCCCGTTCATGTTCTGTCTCTCTCTGTCCCAAAAATAAATAAAAAACGTTGAAAAAAAATTAAAAAAAAAAAATAAAATAGTCTTTTTTTTTTTTAAGTTTCAATTTTAATTTCAGTTAGTTAGTATGCAGTGTTATATTAGTTTCAGGTGTACAATATAGTAATTCAACAGTTACATGCATCACCCTGTGCTCATCACAAGTGCCCTTCGTAATATCCATCACCTTAAAATGGTCCATTTCTTAACCAGGCATTTATAAATAGAACCTGGAGGTATCTATCAGCCTAAATTTTTTACTTTCTCTCAATGACTACCCAATTAGTTAAAACCTAATTTTTTTTCTCCTTGATGAAAAAAAAGTAGCTACAACAGAGTTTTAAATATATTTGTCAAGTTTTACAAAGTTCTTTAAAATGAGCGTGAGCCTGAGGCCGGTTTTGAGTCCCTCTTGCTGCTAGCAGTTTGTTAAAAAATGTTGTTTTTGGATGTTAGGTTCTGAGCAGTAAAGCTGGAGGAAACAGGGGAGCACCTTCGTGCTTCTGGCTGAGTGTTGCCCTGCCAGGGAGCAGGGCTGGTTGACATCTGCGGAGCAGAAGGAGGAGGCAAGTTTAGTCCATGGTCTCAAAAATTCTGACAGCTCATCCATCCCTTCCGGGGTTCCACAGCTCCTTTCTGGAGCTGGATGTCGATCTCTGGGACTTCTGAGGAAAATCATCCTAGTCACTTTCCTGAAGGCAAGGTAAATCCTTGGACCCCCAAACGGAGAAGCGTTGGCTGGGGCAGCCATTTCGGATGTGGCCACTAGATGGCGCCAGAGGACTGGGCGGAGAGGAAGCCATTCTTGGTTCAACTGTGGGAGGGCGATGGAAGAAAATAGGATCCTTAAAGTAACTAGAAGGCAGAGAGGGGATGCCTAAAAATCAACAGGGTTGAGGAAGTGCCCTTGCCAGCACTCTGTAGCTTTCCCCCTTATAATTTAGTATACAAAAAATTTAGATAAAAAGAAGGGGGAAAATCCCGTGTGGTCTCCAAGCAACAAGATGGCCTCCAATGATACTTACTCTCTGGTCCTCATAGCCAGGTGGTCCCCTTGGGCCTTGTACCAGGGTTGGTCTGTGTGACCAGCAGAATGTAGCAGAAGTGATGGTGTGTTGCTTCTGAGATTAGGTCGTAAACATCTCAGATGTTTAGGTTGTAAACATCTCTGC